AGCAAAGGTGGAGAGTTAAGAGGTGGAGAGTCTTGATCACAAACTAGAAGAGCTTATAATGAATGTTCTGGGAAGTGATCTTAGTTGGCTCCCCGTGATCTTACTGAAGGAATATATCACACTTTCACGGAAGACATGAAAGCGCAAACGCACGCAGAGACAGGCTAAAGTGCGCTGTTCTCAGGGCCACTATTGATGGTTCCCCGGGGCATCCCATGAACGCATCTGTTTCTGTCCGGCTGACTCTCCACACTCATAATTTCAAGTAAGTCATAACACAAATTATAAACACATCTCCCTCAACTGTGACGCCAAGAAATAACAACGTCAAGTGCGCTGAGCTGATTTAGGAGAAACTCGGACTCTTAAATCTTTACCTTGACTTCTTTCTTTCCCTCCACTACTTCAATCTACCATTTCTCTCATGTTGCTGAGATTTTTTTTTTTCCATCCTTAGCCTTATCTTTTCATGAGCATTTTTTTCACGTGTGTTTGATTAGCTTTGCCTTCCCCATCCACCAATACGAATGTGTTAAAGTTCCGTTCCCTTTGTTTGGCTCCTTCTTAAGCCTCATTCTTTCCGAGGTGGGTCCGGCTTGCTCGTGTCTGATTTACCCTGTGACATCGCAGTCTGTCAACAGCAGTTCCACAGCCAGGGTGTCTTCATCTAAGTCCTATCTCCTCATTTGTCATCCTTTTGTCCTCAATACCACCCCCCGCCTCACATCTCCCTTACCCCCTTTTTTCTTTATGTCATCTGTATTTTCTTTCCATTTCTGACCTCTCCGACTCCTTTTCCTTTCACCTCCAGTCACATGGTCATGTACTCTAACCATCCATCTCCCACCGTTGTAGAACCGAAGGTCTCAATATGTCCTGGGCCCATTGCAGTTCAATTGGAATCACATGTTGTACAAAGTACTCGAACTAAGGTATCCACCCCCTTATAAATAAGATGTCAGTCCAAACTACAGTATGCGGTGGCCATTTTAGAGACTTATGTGCGCTCCTGAAATCAACATGTGATATGCGCACAGAGACTCAGCTCTTCATATGAGGGCCATGTTTATTCTTTTACTCCAAAAACTGTTATCGAATAGACTCCAGAGAAAAAACAAAAACAAAAAGAAGAGCTAATTCTGAATCCTCAGCAAGAGGGTTTATCTTGTCTCTTATTACAGCCCCTAATGACTTCTGAGAGCACAGGGTCTGACTTTTATGAAGATCGATCACGCGCTTGTCATGACAACATTTCATTGTCACCCTTTCCACCGGTCAGGAAATGAAGATACTCCTTTGTTTGTCAGAGACACGCCAAGTCTAAGTTCAGCAGGGAGTGAGACCCGAGGGTAGGAAAGCAAAATTGTTCACTTTGTAAAACGTGAACAAGCATTTGTCTTGTGTGTGTCGGCCTCATAATGAATCCTGGTATTTTACATTGGGGCCCAAATGGTCATTCAAATTCATTTGATTCAAAGGGCAAAATCATCACACTGAGAAGCTTTTCATTCAGTGGACACAGATTCATTGATTGAGGATGTGGGAGACAGAGTTTATTGGCTGGCTAATCATAATAATGATCCTTTTTATTGTTTTAGGAAGACATCAGTCAGCATACCCCTACGGCACCTCTCTGAGTGCACCCCACAGGGAGACAGAGCTGTACTCTGCTCAGCTCATTTACAAACTGGAGGGGAGGATTTGATTGTGGGGTCTATCTCAAAGGGTCCAAAGACTCAATCAATAATGAAACAAATGCAATTCTAGAGAGCGTTAGCTTGCAGTATGAGGGGCAGGACCCTGATGCGCTTGAATCTCTACAAGGTCCAGATGTGTTTCATTCAAGCTGCAACGTACATACTCACGTATGACATCATGATGATTTTCTTTTTGTAATGAAACAATCCTTAACAGGTAAAAGTGATTGAAAAGACCTCTTCAACTATGGTTGTGTAGCAATATTTGATTAATTGACTCAGTGGGGGTCAGGGAGATGGATCTCTATTTTTCAGATGAGTTCTCAGATAAGACAAACCGCGAAGCCTTTATCTTATGATTTTCTTTTGCCCTTCATGACCTGAGTCTCCAGATTGAATAGCTGAATAGATTGCTAGACTGGGTTTGAAGCGAAATCCTCCCCATTGTTTGGAGGTAAGCCTCTTAAATTGTGCTGTAATGCAGAAAATACAGATGAGCTGTAGATGAGATGGCGGGAACCTGAGTTTGATAGTTTGAACCTGGCATTGTGATGTAAAAATGGCTCCTTCCTGGATGTCTGTTGAAGTTGCTGGCTATGCTCATGATTGTGGACGCACAGATGCCTTCTTTAACCTGATACTGTATTTTGTCATAGCCCAACATTTTACAAGTTTATCCACCAAAAGAGTCCTTCATCACAGGAGTTAACACGGTCAGCGCACAGTGGGCAATTAATGTTGTTACTTGTATTTTCTCAGAGATGTTCAGACGGTAAAAGCGTAATGACACCGGCACAATATTGAAATGTGGTCTGGCGTGGGCTGGGTTCAGCTGAACGCACATAACTCCGGTGCAATGTTGGTCCGTATGCGCAAGAGTTTGTATGTGTTCCCATTACAGTGAGCACTAAAAGAAATAACAGTGAAGGTGTGTGGAGACGAAAAGTGTCACGTCAGAGCTGCCGCGTGATTAATGGTGTGATTAGCTGCGCCGATCCACATGTCAGAACACACACCCATGCGCACACAAATACCGGCACGAATGGGAGTAACCATGTGAGCGCACACAAACACACAGCGGCCTATTAATGTTCTTGAATGGGAGAATCCAGATGCGGTGCAAGGATAATTGTACTAAAAACACCAAACGGAGAGTCCCAGGCCAGCGAGACTTTAGTCGGGGCTCAGTGTGTTTATTTTTGCAATTGAGTTATTACTGCAGGGACTTAAATCATGGAATAAAAACACTCCAATACAGGTCAATTTTTAATTGAGCCCAAAGTGCAATTTGAATGTGCCCTCTCTCTTCCTCTTCCACAAAAGTCAACCCACACATTACCTTGCATTGACATGCTCCTGATTACCTTCGCCAAGGAGGTTATGGCTTCATCATCAACAGATGCTGTTTTTTTGTCTGTGAGCATATATAATGTAGGACTATTACTCCAGTGTTGGATTGCAGGAAAATCCACCATTGACCCCATTTGTATAAACACAACAGAGAAAGAAAGAAAGAAAAACCTTAGATTTGGACCCGGTTGCAGCAGACACCTCATCCATCAGATGAAGTTTCTTGTCAAAGCCTTGTCAGTCATATTTCTCAACTGGTGTTCTTCTATTTGTTCAAATGTAATAAAACACAACTCTTGATTACTATAATTAATCAACCAAAGTCCCTTCTGAATTTTAATAAAAGATCATCGTAGCTTATAATGATTTCTTATCATTATCCCCTTACTCACTGGCCATCTAAGTCAGCTTTCTTCCGCAGACTCTTGACGAACTAGCTCACTTTCCTGTGTGTAAGTTACTGATGCAGAATGGGCTGTTGAAGTAATTGCCACCAGTGTGTATGGAGTATGAAAATTCATCACAAGAGAGAAACTGCAGAGACTTCTCTGTGTCAAAGGCAACTGTTTCTGTCATTGCAGCCACAGGCACACATCTAATTATCTCACTTCACCAAGCCACAACCAACACACACAATGTCCGGCTTCAGAGAAATTGTCTGAAAGGCACAGGCAAACATTTTGTTGAAAGTAGGAATCCAACGTGTAAGCCTTAGTTGAACTTCATTGAAATGCAAACCTTGTTTTGTCAAGTCACATTTATTTCTACAGCCCTTAATCACAAAAGAGTCTCAAAGGGCTTCACGGATCAACAGTTCACAATGATCAATCACGTCCCCTGGTCGAAATAACGAAACTGGGCAAAGAAAAGCACCAAAACAAAAAAGACCAAAAGATTTTTGGGGTGAACAGGAACAGGAACAGAAACTTGTCTGCACAAAGCAAAGTCCATAAAGACATGCTTGGTTGAGTTTGTTGTGGAACAACAACAATAACAACAACTTGAGTGTCCTGACCGCAATCTCATCAAACAGAGATTGTGAGACAAGCTCTCTCATCCAAGATCATTGTCCTCTAACCTCAGCAATTCCCACAGGCACACGAGAATCTTGTATCAGGTCTTCCTTGAAACATGGGATAGTTACAACGGGATGTTAGAAAGGGGTTGACCAAATCCGTGTGTTTGTCCATCGTTATTGATGTGTGCGTTGACAGAAGTGCGCATAAATGGTATGTTTGTCATCACTGGATTTACACCATCCAGTTTCTTCTCTGGGATACATTCATCCATTTTCCGATCCACTTATCCTCACAAGGGTCGCAGGGGGTTCTGGAGCCTATGCCAGCCCTCTTCGGGCAGTAGGCGGGGGGACACCCTGAACCGGTTGCCAGCCGATCACAGGGCACACACACAGATGAACAACCATCCACGCTCATACTCACACCGAGGGACAATTTAGAGTGTTCAATCAGCTTGCCATGCATGTTTTTGGAATGTGGAAGGAAACTGGAGTACCCGGAGAAAACCCACGCATGCTTGGAAGAACATGCAAACTCCACACAGGGAGGCCGGAGCTGGAATTGTACCTCTGCACTGTGAGGTCGACGCGCTAACTGGACCACCGGGTCGCCCTGGTATACATCCTTTAGGGATATTATTTCCCCTCGATACAGGGGGTAGATTTGAATGTCGGGTTGTCTGTGCATGATTACGCTTGTTCCTTCTGCACCTGTAGATTTGGACAGAAGAAGAAAGATGTCATTGCTCCCTCAAGCTCCTCTGTTAGGCTTCATTACATTATTACGTGGCCATGAGTCACGCTCTTGATACCAGAGCACTTAGCAGACCACTTGAAAGACGTCTCTAGAATGGAGATGTGGAGAGATGTCTGTGACATCTGCGTGATCTCTGAAATGACTATTCGAAGGCCTTTTTTCTACTGTGTTTGTTCAGGCAGCAAGCTCTACTGGCAGCTATCAGCGAGAAGGATGCTAACATAGCCCTGCTGGAGTTGTCTCCCTCAAAGCGGAGGAAAGCCCAAGAGGAGGTGATGGCTCTAAAACGGGAGAAGGACCGGCTCATGCACCAACTAAAACAACAGGTACAACCGGTGCTTACACGGCCCACCAGGCTATATGAAGAATGTGGTAGACACGCAGTCATTGTGGTCTAAATGGGTGACTGGCATGTGATTGATGTGGAGCCTCGCCTTGTGGTCACAATTTAGGACATTGCGGCGTTGTAAATCAAAGCGGAATGGCAAATTCAAACCTGCTGCGCATCGCCAGGCCATGCCTGCACAGCAGCCTCACGGGCAAACTTTGTACTCTCAAACCAAGAACATGCAGAAGTTAATAATTTCTTGTAAACAGAATTGGCTTCTCCACCTCCAACCACATTTTTGTGCTCAGACATCACGCGATAAAACCAGAAGGGGCTGTGGTTCCACGTTCAGGCAAAACGGTCACTTAAGTTGATATGGCAGTGGTGTTTGTGCAATTAAGTCTAAGTAATGTAGACCTTCATTTGACTCATGGCTGAGTCATTAGCGGAGTGTCCTGTCTGATAGCTTCTGGTGGAACAGATGTTAAATGGCATCACCTATTTCCCGGATTGACCTTTTTTTTGTTCAGTAAAACCCCATGCCAGCCGAGGTATGTTGTTTATTAGGTCTTGGTCAAACCACATGGCCGATGGAAACAAAATGAACACGAACAGTAATCATCCAACAGCAGGGAGTCCACCCGTGTCCTGAATCGGAGGGGTTTCTGGGAATCATGGAGCATTTTAACGTCGAAAGATGCAGTGGTAAATGTGCACCCACCGACATGTTTGTATCTGCCTCGTAAACAATTCCCAGGCACTGCACTAAAAGGAATTCAGGGAAATCTCATTACCTGTTTATCACCGTTGCGTTCATCATGTTTTCCTGTTCTGGTCATTTCTTGCGATGAGATGGGCTGTATTTGATCTGCAATCAAGGAGAAAGATTCAATGAAGGGTTGTTAATTGCAATGAGATCCTTGGAATTATTAATTTCACTCATTTACCAGGCAATGCATTGACCGCCTACCACCATGCAGGGCCCTTAAAGCGTGGAACTAAATTTCTTCATGTGATGGCGGCTGTAGGGTAAGTAGTTGTCGTTGCACCCAGTGAGATATGTGAAGGGTAAGATTTCCCTCTCAGATCGTCAATAGCCACCGGTAGAAAGAAACCGACCAGGAAATGCCAACGAATTATGGGACTCTGAGGCCAAAAGGATCTGGAGAAGATAGATTTCCAGATAGCTGTGCCCTGTCTGACCTCTCCATCAACCACTTATGGCGTATCGTGCGTGCATGTGTGTCTGCGTGTGTGTGCATCTGTGTGAGCACGCAGTCTGCTTTCTTAGATACCCAGCTACCATTTGAGGTTCAAAGACTCACAGTAACTCCCCCACACAGAAAGTGTAATGTTTAGACTTCCTCGGGAGAGTCAGAACCAATATGTTACCTCTTGGGATTTCTCACAGTGATCCTAACCTTGTGAAAGATGCCCAAGCGTCAATGTTTCTTTCAAGCTGAGAAATGACTCATTTGTACTCCTACTCATATCCACCTTTTGGGACTGAGAGAGATTGAAGCATCCATCCCCATAAAATGCTTCTCTCTACTGTGGAAAGATGAATTTTGCTTTTTCAGAGGTGCACCATGGGACAGAACCAATGTAATACCATCGGTCTGCTTCAAGCGGAGTCACTGTGTCTTCATCACTCTGACTGGGAAAAATGGGTAATGTTGGGCAGGAATGCATACCTACACACACACGCACACACACACACACACACACACACTCACACACACACACACGCACTCACACACACACACACACACACACACACACACACATGCCTACAAACAGATCTGATTAGAGAACTGAGGAAAGAAAGCACTGGAAATACTTTTTCAAGACTTTCCTCAGCTGTGTCGTTGATCTCAAGTCATGTGTTAATGTAGTTGTGTACTAATCATTTTAAGCTTCAGATTTAGGTGGGGCTTGACCCAAGCTTTAGCTGTGGGCTGAGCTGTGATGTTTACACCCACAGCTGCACTGTTTTTTTTTGTTGTTGTTTTTTTTTTTTTTTTTCAGCCAAAAACTGCTTGGATCTGCCCAGCGAGTTGTGCCACCTGGATCTTTTTCAAATGACTCAATTCACAGTGAGGCCTGGATGCCATTTCAGATCTGTTTGCTGTGTGTTTGCCGCTATTTTTTTTTGCAAAATATTGTGCAAAACGAGTAGGTTTTTAGTTTTCAATGACACTGGTAATCCCTGAAAGTTTGGTTACTTGTTGAAAGGTGGAACTAGTACGGCACTGACAAGAGATGTACATTGTTTTCAATGCAGTGTCTGTTGCATTCTTTCTTTGAGAGGAATAATCACTTGGAATGTGTGAACTGTGATGTAACAATCAAATCAGGCAGAGCGTAACAATGGTAGATGACCATAAGTAAAACATATATTTGAAGGGCTTTGTGTTTTAGCACACTATGGTGTGCAGTATTTCAGTGGCTCTGTCTCCATGACAGGTATCCACTGTTTTAACCTCCTCCAATCACACCTGTGAGCGTCATGGTTCTTGGTGTCCCTCTGAGCCCTCCTACCCCTCATCCTTTTTCCCCTAACCATGGTGTCGAGGTTCTTGCCTTATCTATCTAAGTAGCTCTTCTCCATTTGAATGGCCAAGCTCTTTAATATGACCCGCATCCTCTCTTGTGATCCTGCCTGCCTCATTTCCTCAGTCATTAGGCACTCACTGCTTATCTCAGCGGCTGGGTCCCCAGGGCTGCATCTACCTTCTATCTGTGGCCTCTTCAATGAAGGCTGACTCTCATTTCAACAAATGTCACACCATTTTGGATAGCATGCGCATAGTGTGTTTCCCTCGAATGCTCTTCAACCTCAACACGATTGCACCTACAGGTCTGAAGTCCACCCTCAAGGAAAGTATTTTCAATGGAGAAAATATAGAGCTGAACCTGTCATTACATCTGCACCCACTCTATCTATGTCTATCTTGTAGACAGATGGCTTCGCGCAAGTCAGCCTAACGTCCGTCAGCGCAGACTGTTATCTCTCTTCAGTGCAAAAATGTTCGGAGAATGACAGCCTATTTCGCATAAACGCTTTCTTCCACAAACACGCAAGGAATGCCATTTTTGGCCCTGCAGAACGCCTGATATTTGAGCACAATTTCTAGTCGATGGAATTTAAAATGCAAGTGTGAGAACGTCTGCAGCCTCAGGCTTTGTGCGTTTGCTAACTTTCCATACTGTCGTTTGTCTTATCCTTTTAAGTGGTACTTTGTAAAATGGATAATATTTGACAGACTTATGTTGTTTCCATCAGACACTCCATACATCACCTGTCAAGTGTTGTCAGCACTGCTACTTTGAACCTCTTTGATGACTTTCAACATGTTTTACCCTCGAGAAGGCCCATCATCAACCTAATAACCAAATTGTTTTTTTTTCTTCCTCAATTCTGGCAGACTCAGAACAGAATGAAGATGATGGCTGATAACTATGAGGAAGATCGGATTCACCCTCAACATCACCCTCACCATTCCGTCCACTTGCACTCGTCGAATATGCATCACAGAAGCCTCCCAAGAGGGCCCCCGCATGCCAACCACAGATCCCCTATGGACCAGGTCAGTTTGAATGTCCGCATCAACGCACATCAGTGTCAAGTTGATGTCTTCAAAAATTTTCATTCATCATTCACGACAACACCACTCCTCTGTGTTCCTCTCACTCAAAGTTGATACCCCCAGCCAAGTCAGAGAATTTGGGATTTGTGTGTGAAATTAGTTGAAATCATGAATCTTTCTCATGACCAATTACTCTCTGTAAGGTTATCAGTACCAGACACGCCTGAGGCAAGACTTTGCGTGTCTGTTTGAGGATTGCGCTGTATTTTGTATCAACACGACATCATTCAACACTTTGAGTGTTTGCATCACTTTGTGCGTTTATGTGAACACAAACTATAATATTTTGTAGCCAGAAGAAAAAAAAATATTGACATTTTCATTTTCATGATACTTTTTCAAATATTCTCCCTTTGATTTCGTTTGACATCCGATGATAAAATATTGAATAAGGCGGTAGAATATCACAAAGCCTTGAACTCTTGTATCGGGTTGGAGTCCAAACAGTGAAGAGAACGTATGAATGATTGTCTGGCGGGTTGTGATGAATACCTGGGGATTTCCACAAGTCGAAAGACAAGGAGGCTGCTTTTATATGTGGTTTTAAATGTTTCAAAATTGATTTCATAATTCTGGAACTGCTGTCTCAATTAGATCAAATGAAATCTGCACAGGGGACTGCCTGTCGAAAGCCGGCTCTTCAAGTTTGAGCTGTGGAATGGATCACAGAAGTGTTTATGAATGTGTCCATTTGCATCAGTTTGAATTAAAACTATCACTTTTATAATATTATAATACATGACATTTAGTGCAGATAAACTTCAGCCCTTGACAGCAACGTTCATCCTCTTTGCAAATCTAAAGTACAGTTACTGTGCTGTATATTTCATTGGAATTTATGACCACAGTTGCTATTAAAAAAATAGTGCACAAAAAGAAAATGATAAGTTCACCTACATTCTTGAATTGGTTAATTGAAATAACGGTTTATGGATTGATAAATGCATCAATGTATATTTCTACGATTCCAACTACATCGTTCGATCCTCTTTTTGCAAGAATAGTTTGAATATCAGATTTTAATTTGGCATACAGGAGAAAGTTAAACGAGGACTCATTTAACTTGATTCAAATGTGTTCATTATTATACTGTATTGAAAATAGATGACAGTGTGCAGAACAATGCGTGAGCACATTTGATAATGTCATCAACTTAAATTTGAGATAGTCTCGTTGTCATTGTCTTCGATTCCCAAGCCACAGTCACACAGCCTGTTATTTTACTGTTTTAGCACTTCCTCTTGTGCAAAGCACACACATTTTAACAACAAGAGAATGTCTTGACAGGGGTCAGCCTATTGCCACGTGACTTTTCCTCATATCTGCGCTTTCACCCCAAGGTTAGGACAGAGCCCCAAAGGAGCGAATGTTTGTGTGTGTGCGTGTGTGTGTGCGTGTGTGTGTGCGTGTGTGTGTGTGTGTGTGCGTGCGTGTGTGTGTGTGCGTGTGTGTGTGTGTGTGTGTGTGTGTGTGTGTGTGTGTGTGTGTGTGCGCGCGTGCGTGCGTGCGTGTGTACAAGTGTGCGTTCACGCGGCTGTGTGCATGTAGTGCTGATGGGGTATGTCAGGTCACACAGTCTGAATGTCACAGAAGTCCCCGCACTGAGACTGTTTTCCCTCCAAACAGAAAACTCCACACCTCCTTTTATTTCTCTCTTTCATCTAGATGATGAATTACTCTGTTTGCTTTTCTTCGACATGGCCTTCTACTCTTCCTTTCATTCTTTTTCTTCTTGCCACCATCAATTTCTGGAGTTTTTTATTTATTTTTTTGGTCAAATAAAAACTGATATAAATTGTTTTGGCCCCTCTTTGTTGTGAGTGACAACACACAATTTTGTCCCAGATTGTTTTTTTTTCTTTTTCCCTAAGTGCAGTTAGTCAGCACTGTACCTATACCCATATTACAGTGTGATTTGTCAAGGTACAGGTGAAATATAATTGATGGAGACAAGCAGTGGAAGTGCGTTTATCCTCTTGAGATATAGCCCGGCGCCGTGGCTTAGCAGGAAGAGTGTGCGCTTTGACAGGCGTATTTGTGTCCATGTTGTTCTCGTTTAGCCATGCCAGCTTCACTGCCAGACACTTGGCAGCAGGCACCGTAGGAAATAGAAAACATTCTTGAAGTGTTTATCAAAATATGAATTGCACGACCCTTTCTTTTATTTTTTTAAATTTTTTTTTTAGGCCCAAACATGTTGGTTTCTTTAGATCTGTGAGAAATTGCACATGGCACGCTTGATTGTTTGTGTGCGAGAGGGTGTCTGTCTGTGTGTCTGACCTGCCAGAATGAGTCATTATAGGTCTGGTTCTGTTTAGGGGGTATGTCACAGCCAGTTGCTGCACGCTAGCATTTAGCATCTTGGCTAGCTAGCACATTACATGAAAAAAAGCAACTTTAGCAACTGCCGAGTGGGTGATCTTACCAAGCTTGTCACAGCTGCTCAACAACAAGAATGCCATAATATGCAAAAGCAGCTTGAAAAAAAAAAGGTTTAGTTCGCGCATGGTGCAATAAAGTGTGCTTTTGAAACGGTTCACTGACAATGATGTATCCCCCCTGTTTATACCCAGGAGGACGAAGAGGGCATTTGGGCATGATTTGGTGCCAACGTTGGAACATTGTGGACAAAGTGAGTACCCAAACTTGTGGATCCTTTACAGATTTATTCATGATCATCTCCACAATAGCTTACGGTAAGGTAGCGTAATCACTGGCCGGCAACGTTGATTCAACCGCAGTAACCACAGCCTTACCCAACTCTGCCAAAGGGAGCGTAAAAGCACCTTTCCCATTGCTTATGAATTTCCGTTGACTAAAGAGCATTCAGGGATTTATGGCTGCCTTTATGGTGAAGGTACATGTGGCTGGTTCTTCAAAGTGCTTTTCATTCACTGTCTGCATGGTTATATAGGCAACTGTGCGCTATTAGATCTAAATGCGCTAAGCAGCCTAATGTGGGTGTACCAGGGTCCATTGGTGATAAAAATGACAAAGTGACACAGACCAGAGATGGACAAGTCAGTCTCCTCCAAGTCTTGACTTTTTTCACCCATAGTAAAATTTTACCGTGCTACCCCACCCTGTTGTGTTTTCGTGTGTGGGGTAGTTAATTACAATACAACACTGAACAGTCATGATGTCTTTTAAGAGTGCAAGCTGAAAAAGCATAAAATGAAGAATGCAGAGTCATAAAGGGTAATTCCTGTTGTGGGAGTTTTATATCGAAGCACCCCCCCCCGGGCCCCCCCTCGTGGACTCAAAATGCCTTTCAACACAGGCATGCTAAAAGAGGCCTGTGCTATGGTTTGCTTGGAACTTGTTTAAAACAAAGAGTCAGGCAGAAAGTAACATGGATGAGGAGATACATGGCTGAGGGGGCCTGAGAAGAAGGGTGCCCATGTTTGTATGTGCCAACTGAAGCGAAAAGCAAGCGGCTCCATCTACTCATAGTTTCCAATGAATGTCATTAATTCCCACCAATAATCCACAGGTGGACCATCACAAGCGGATTGTCTTTCTAACCTCAGTGACTTAGTCATTATGCACTTTGCCCTCATGGTGCTTTAGGGATTACAAGTCTGTTAGTGTGTCGGAGAAAATGGTTTGTCTTTCCACAGTGTAGCCGTGATAGGTTTAGTTACGTGTGTATTTGTGCACAAGAGCATTACCAAGGACGACGTACAGTGCCCGAGCAGTCTACATCGCCTGTAATGTAGTCCATGTGTGCCGCAAAGGCATGCAGTGTCGGGATTCACCGTCATGAACCACCATACTGCTCCAATTCTCCCTCTTTCCATCTCTCCATCTTGTTTCCATCCTTTTCTTCCCACCTCCAATTTTTCCTTCGGCAGCTCTCTAATATAGGCTATATTCCTTCAAGGTAAACGTAGGAGTCTGAGTCTTGGCTAAGCCTGCTGCTACACTATCTTGAATCAGATATGCTGGTGGTGTGTGTGTGTGTGTGTGTGTGTGTGTGTGTGTGTGTGTGTGTGTGTGTGTGTGTGTGTGTGTGTGTGTGTGTGTGTGTGTGTATTGGTGCTTCTTATCCCAATCTAATACAATAAGCCAGGCACATTAGCCTTTAGCGCAGAATAGTGTTGTGGCTAGCAATATCAGCACAGTTCATCTATCCACTGCTGTTCTTCAGGCAGTGTGCAATGCGAGCACAGCTAACGTGCGTTAGCCACCCTTTATGGAAGAACAGATGGGAGCTATTTAGTGGTGTGTAGCTACAGCGCAATAAGGCCAGACCTAATCCCCATATCCTGTCCCTGAGTGAGCCCTCCCTAATATGAACAAACAGAGATGACAGCATAGATAGCCAAACAGTCAGAGAAATAGCCAGGGTTCCGTGTGTCCGCACGGACATCGCATGTGTGCTGCAGGCAGCCAGGCTTTCTTTGACAGACGCTCCCTTGACTCCCAATGTGAGGCCGCCCTTTGTATTCAACACAAAGTGAGCTTTGAGATTGGAATTGCTGGCAGGGTTGTTGTGAGCATCCAGGTAGGGATGTGGATGTTTGTCAGAACACTGGATGCTGATTGGCTGGTTGGTTGCGTATGCCTCGCTGGTGATTACCATGGTTTTGTTTACCCTCTTGGACTCCAAGACACCCCCCTACTCTGAGGAAATCAGAATGCCCTTTTGGGCAGAGAGGACACTAGAGGAGGGGTGGAGCAAAAAAGTGAAGGAGAAATTGGGGCCAAAAAGTGAAGCAGTGTTTAGGGATTCTCTGGAAACGTTGTTTTTATCCCACTGTGAAGTTTTGTGCACTGAATGGAGAGAAAAGAAGCTGAGAGGCTTTTCTAGTGGGGATGGGTTTGTTCTGGCCAAAACAAGTCAAAAAGTTTGCCCATGCTGTTTTTACTGAATGCAGCATTTGTGTGTTCACATTATGTATATCCGTAATTATTCCCCCTATGTGTGTTTCTTTGTGTGTGTAGGAGGCGGCAAAGTGCATTCATTGCGAAAGGGACTGTCGGTGCTGTTTAATATTCTGGAATGCGCTTGAGTTGGTGTCAAGGAAATTGTTTTGCTTGCTTTAAGCCTGAATCTGATTGGCTCAACCCAAGGCCAAGGGCTCCTGTTTATCAAAAACGCCCTGAAAGTGCTACAAAACCAGTAAGTAGAATCAGTGGACTCAAGAAAAAGCTACATCAGTGTCTCTTGGTTTACAATGGAGCGGTACTGCTTTTTGTACAATGGACACTTACTTTTGACTTGAAAACATTTACCTCGGAGTCAATTTTTGTAAGCTCATAGGGAAACTGGACAGATTGAACATTGAAAGGCAGAAATTGCGTGTATGGTTATTATTCATGATATGGTTGGCAAGATGATTGAGCGAACCTGTTCTCATTCCCACCAAGTGATCAGTGCCGTTTTCACACCAAAGATGAACAGTCGGTTTTGCACATGGCAGTGCTGCTTTGCTGAGGATGGCATTTACTGATGTGGTATCTAGCAAGAAAGAGTCTGGTCGTCAAATACATGCTGGATGATTTAAAGCTCTGTATAGTTCCAATCCCTTCTGTGACCACAAGTATAAATATGAGTGACATTTTTAACAAAATAGCATATTTGTCAGGCCATTGCTCATTTTGTGTTTCCAAGAATGACTCATGATTTATTATCTTAACCATGACAATCAGCCACGCAACCTTAAAACGTAAATCATAACTTAAACCCAAGCTCCAGTGTTATGTAATGCCAAGTAAGTTCTTCACATATTTCTATTGACCATTTTTTTCTTTGTTTAGAGTGCAAAGGATGGACCGGTACTACTTATTATCACATAATTGGAAGCAATGGTTACATGTCGATTGAACACTCCAAATTGTCTCAAGGCGTGAGTGTGAGCACGGATGGTTGTTTGTTTCTGTGTGCCCTGCGATTGGCTAGCAACCGGTTCAGGGTGTCCCCCGCCTACTGCCCGAATACAGCTGGGATAGGCTCCAGCACGCCCCACAACCCTTGTGAGGATAAAGCGGTTCGGATTGTAAGCTGTCTGGAGTTGACATTGGAACTGACCCTCTGATCAATTCTCTTTTTGCACCAATGAAAAGACTGTTATAATGAGAGTATATACTTAGATGAAGTAGTACCAGACCGGAATAGTCAGTTAGAACGGACAGTATAGGTTGAGGTAATTTATTTGCACTTGAAGTATAGCCAAGGCATGTAATTTTTTTTTTGCCTCCGCCTCAGTTCAGAGACTTGCGCTTTTTTTTTTTTTTTTTACTCAAATACCTATTGACAGATTTGACAACTTCCTGAAAACAAGACCTGTTTTAGCTTATGACTTTTGACGTTTGTTCTCAAATTATATCATAGATCACTTTACAGACTTTTGCTCATGCATTGTCAGACATGCTGCATCAAAACATTGCAAATGCAACAATCTGACCTAGTTGTAAATGTGAGGTTGAACATGTCTCTGTGTCAATCCTGTGATTGGCCTGTTTCATGAGTTTTATAGATATTAAGACTTTCCATTGTCCAGTGCAGAGGTGCAGGGTTCGATTCCGACTCTGGCCTCCCTGTGTGGAGTTTTAATGTTCTCCCCTGTGCCTGCGTGGATATTCTCTGGGTACTCCGGTTTCCTCCCACATTCCAAAACCATGCATGGCAGGTTAATGGAACACTCAAAATTGTCCCGAGGGGTGAGTGTGAGCGTGAATGTTTGTTCGTCTCTGGGTGCCCTGCGATTGGCTAGCAACCGGTTCAAGGTGTCCCCTGTATATATGAATGTATAAATGCAAACTTTGCGCCAAGAACAACGTGAAGGTGGCAGAACAACGGCAGTTCGGAAGAGACTCTTTCGCAAAGCACAAGTCAAAACACACCTGTTTAAAAATGCCTACTCTACCGAATGTCATTTTGCTCTGCCCCTTACTGTTGTTGTTTAGCTATAATGACTTTTCTTTCACCACCGCATTGAACTTGGAATACAGACATCTAATATTTACATCCTTGTGTCACAACCATTTATACTTGTGTATATACCGTTCGCACATGCTCATGGCATGTTTTCTTCTAAGGCAGGTCCGTTAAAAGGAATAAGGACAGACAAGACCCAGCGTTTTGGGGTTTTTTTTCAGGACAAGCAAACAGAGGAGAGTTTTGCGGAGGAAGTGTTGCTGGCAACCTCACGAGACAGGCAGGTTTACTCCTGTTTTTACCAGCTTTCTTGGAGTAGAGTAATGGAGAGTACAGTACATATTAGCAGTTCGGCAGTCGCAAATCCACCTTTTCATGAATTTGTTTGAACCTAACCTCCGTTATTCACAGAAAAACTCACCTATTCACAATTTCCTGTAATGTGGCACACAACGTCATAAAATTAGTTTTTATGTTTTTTTCTTTTTTTTTTGCCATGGTAAACTACTGTTTTACAGTATGTGTGTGATTGACTGTAGCATCAGATTGTTTGCGTTGGCTGCTTTGGCTCGTTGACTTTCTTCAAACTTGGTGTGAACACGGCCTCTAAAGCAGTGGAATCCGTAACAGCTTAGCAGAATATCACTAAAGCTTTCTATAACCGCCAATTGGTGTCCCTGCTTGGATCCACCAGGTTTTGGTCAGTAAGCATTAAAGGGCTAGCTAACCACTATCGAGCCAGCAACCTA